TGGTGTAACACCTCAAATATATATCAAACCTAGCAACAATTTTATATATACAAGATTTCAGAAATTTTAAATCTTTTTTTGTTTTGAATCATTTTTTGAGATCTAACTTACATCTGATGCTACAAATAAAACTCAGATTTAGCTTTTACTAAAATTATAGTATCATTAAATAGATTCAATTTAACCACATTTTATTTGAATCATTGACATATATATGAAAAATTCTAAAATATATGATAAGTAATTTAAATATTGAACTCATAATTAATACAAAAATTTGAGTCTTTCAGTTCACTAAATTCATATCATAAATGGAAATCACTACTAAATTCAAATAACACCATCAAATTTAAAATAAAAATAGAAACGAAAACTTAGAAGAAGAAAAAACAACATTTAAGAAACTTAATTATTTCATTCCACGAGGCTTCAAATGTATTAGGAACCATTGTATGCTTAATTAGCATTTTTTTTAGGAGCTTGTGCAAACGAAGCAACAACATTTTTTAGCATCAAATCAATCTCATCCAATCGACTTTCAATTTTTTTCAAATCCTCTGCATTAGATTTCTTAATTTGCTCCCATATTTCTTCCATATCAGTCTCATCGGTTGTCTGATTAGTTGGAGTCTCTTCTTTGATCTCGAGATTGTCAAGTTCATTTTCATCTTCTATTTTGACTATCGGAACCTTCTGACATCTTAGAGTCTTTTTTTCTGCCATTACTCAAGTTTTGAAGAAGGATAAAAAAAAATGATATGTTAATTGATGAGGCTCTCCAAAAAAAATGTGTTGCTTATTTATACAAAAAAATCTTCAATGTTGTAATTAATTTCTTGCAATACTATAAATGAAAACAAATCTCCTCATTATATTAAAATTATAGTAACAAAATATATTTATATAGATACTTAAAATAATAAGTCTTGCACTTACCATAATAATAAAAAATAAATCAAAAATTTCATATTAAAGAGATTAATATTCTAATTTGGTTAATGACTTAATCAAATTGAGGAAAGTGGGTGAGAACAGAATTTGAAATGAAATAATCTATATATCAAAATCTTCAAAAAATTCAATATAATAGGAAAATGTTTTAATATGCTACTATAATTGTAGACGGCAAAAGTTAATATAATTAGAAGAAAAATAAATTTCTTGCCCAAAATTTCTTGAAGTTTCGTGAATGGAAAAGTTATCAAAATCCAAAAACAAATCTTAGTTAGTGTTGGGGAATTTCAAAATATTTGATGACTAAAATTTGAAAATCTGGTCAAATTTTATAGTCAAATAAATAGTTAAAGGTGAATTTTTAGAATCTACTCTCAAAATATATGGTCAATGCTAGTTAAAAATATTAGAAAACTATATAATTAGACATACTTCACTACTATATATTATTATTATCTATACTGTCAAAATATTATGTATTTTACCACTAATTTAGAATTATCTACGTATCTTATGCTTAGATACATGTATTTTTGTCTACTAGATATATAAAAAGGGAGCGAGGCGAGCGAGATTGAGGAGCGATGCGAGCGAGATTTGTATGTATCTCAGACACATGTGAATCACACTAGATATACACTAGATACATACTATTTGTATGTATCTTGAGTGATTCACATGTATTTGGGATACCATATATATGAGAGAGTGGGGAGTGAGATGGGAGAGAGGCGAGCAAGATTTGCTATATATGTATACCAAATACATGCGGATCCACTTGGATACAATATATCTAGAACAAATTACACTTAAATTTGAACCCATGTATATGAGATAATCTTATATAACATAGCACATGACGAAAAGATAATCTTAATTTTTATTTTTGACTAAGCAAATTATTGAATTAAAAACCATAATCAACATATTTATGTGTTAATACAATCCATACGCAATTATTTTGTAACACCTCAGAAAAATTTTGAGCTAAGACTTGAACCGTTCTTCATAGTGAGTGAGATTTTACCAAGGAATTAAAAATTTCTTAAGTGTTAAGGTCATTAGATGTAGCACCTTGAGTTCCAAAAAGAATTAAATTGGAAATAGTTTGATCTGAAATTTTGCAAGTTAAGCTAAGTATGAGTTTTTGGTCGACTTCAAACGACCATAACTTCTATCTCAAAATGATTTAGGTGTGATACCAGATACTGTAGAGAAGATCTTTGAATTATCTTTCCAACGCCACCGAGTTTTCTCGGTTTCGAGTTCGTATGAGGGAGATATGTCCATTCGAAGTTGGACTGTCTAGATAAGGAAAGTCAAAACCGGATTTTAGAGGGGTATTTTGGTCTTTTCCTTACCCAATCAGATTTAATTCATTTTTAGTAATATTTTAAGGGTCTAATCTGATTAGGTTCAGTTTTAAAATCCTAGTTTACGCCTAGGGTTTTAGTTGAGAGTTCAAGAAGAGAAAAAAAGAGAAAAGAGAAAGGATCGAAGCTTTCGTCGAAATTCTTGAGAGTTGTTGTGGATTGTCGCCATGAGTTTGATCCCTAAGAGGTATGTAAGCTTCCATAGTGTTGGGTTAGTTCACGCACACGCCAATCATGTTATTTTCAGCGAAATTTCATTCTTGAAGTTGAAAGATTAGAGTTCTTGATGAGTTCTTGATAGGTGTTCTTGAAGTTCATTCTAAATCTTGTTGTGTTGGGGTTTTGATGATTTCTTGAGATGAAATTTAGTAATTTGAGTGTTGTTTTGAGTATATTAGAGTGTACTTATGTTAAGTAATCGAATCCAAGTGATTGGGGAAGAAACCCTTTCGATTCTTGGCGAGTTAGGGGTGAGAAAACGAGCAAGGAAAAATCGTCGGATTTTCTGGGTTGGGGCCTGGTGCGATGCACCAGCCAGAGCGCCCCAAACCCTCCTCTAAAGTCTAGGGGATGGACCCTGCGCCACCTATAGCACCAGGGTCACCTGCCCCATCCTGTTTGTCGTCGGTTATCCCGTTTGAGCTCGTTTAAACTAATCTCGCTCGCCTCATCGGTTGTCTGATTAGTTTACATACAATATTATTATTATTATTATTATTATCTATATTGTCAAAATATTATGCATTTTACCACTAATTTAGAATTATCTACGTATCTTATGCTTAGATACATGTATTTTTGTCTACCAGATACATAAATAGGGAGCGAGGCGAGCGAGATTGGGGAGCGAGGCGAGCGAGATTTGTATGTATCTCAGACACATGTGAATCACACTAGATACACACTAAGATACATACAATTCACATGTATTTGGGATACCATATACATGAGAGAGTGGGAAATGAGATGGAGATAGGCAAGCAAGATTTGCTATATATGTATACCAAATACATGCGGATTCACTTGGATACAATATATCTAGAACAAATTACACTTAAATTTGAACCCATGTATATGAGATAATCTTATATAACATAGCACACGACGAAAAGATAATCTTAATTTTTATTTTTGACTAAGCAAATTGTTGAATTAAAAACCATAATCAACATATTTATGTGTTAATACAATCCATACGCAATTATTTTATAATTATCATATTTATTCATATAACAACTTACGTGTAATGATATATATATATATATAAATGGTCAAATTTGTTAGTAATGGGTGTAAAACTGCGCTAATCATTAAGAAAATAGGCTAAATTTGTCATTTATGAAATCTTAGCCATCATGAAAATTTTGATTTCACCGCTAAATTTAAATAATTTTATTTTTTCTCTAAAAAGTGACTTTAGCTTTTAGTTGACTCAATCTATAGTACAACTACTAGAGACGCTTTAACGTGACAAAATTTTCTATGATACAAAGAGAAAATGGACCTCACTATCCGCTTGAATTAAATTTCGCCTTCTAGCTCCGATTAATTATTTTTCTAAGGGTATTTTTATCCTAAAATCCGTTGTAGATTTATCTAAATAGCCCAAAACGTGTAGGAATAAATTTGAATTAATTTTGAACAAATTATATGGGTGTGATTATATTAAAACCTTGAAAACTAATTTGTATTTATTAGTCAAAAGCCAAGATTTAGAGTGTGTCTGGTATGAAGAAAAACATTTTTTGGAAAATGTTTTTCAATTTCTCATGTTTGGTTGGGTAAAATGTTCTCGAATTTTTTTTCCAAATCAACTCATTTTTCTCAAATTTAAGGAAAATGACTTCCCTTAAAAAATTAAGGAAAACATTTTCCAAAACTTTCCTCCAACTTTAAATTATAATTTTTTTGTTGAAAACATAATTTTTTTTGTTGAAAAAATGAATTTACAGCTTATTTAAAAAATATTTTTCAACTTCAATTTTTTTATTTTCTTACCCCACCCTCACCCGATCCCCCCTCCCGCCAGCCCCCTACCAGCCTCCTAACCCCCCCCCCCCCCCTAATTTTTTTTTTTAAAGTTTGTTTTTAAAAAAAATTCCAATTTCAAATTTTTAATTTTTTCAACCCACACCACCCCACCCTCTCCCCACAAAAAATTAAGTTTATTTCTAAAAAAATATTTTAAATTTAAATTCAAAAATTATTTTTTGCTTTCTAGTAAAAATAAAAGATATTTTCTCAAAAATATTTTTCATTCATAAAGCAAACACTAAAAAATATTTTCTACTCACCATCCAAATATGAGAAAATAAATTAAAAATCCACTTATTTTTCAGGAAAACATTTTTTTCCATACCAAACACACCCTTAAGGTCTTCAGAAGGAGAGTATCATTAAATAGATTCAATTAATCACATTTATTTGAATCATTGACATATATGTTAAAAAATCTAAGACATACCATAAAAAATTAAATATTGAACTCATAATTAATACATAACTTCGAGTCTTCACTAAATTCTTTTCATAAATGGAAATCATTACTAAATTCAAATAATACCATAAACTTTAAAATAAAAATAGAAACTAAAACTTAAAAAAAAAAAACGTTTAGAAAACTTAACTATTTCATTGCATGAAACTTCAAATGTATCAGGAACCATTTTATGCTTAATTAGCATTTTCTTGAGGAGCTTGTGCAATAGAAGAAGCAACAACATTTTTCAGCATCAAATCAACTTCATCCAATCGACTTTCAAATTTTTTCAAATCCACTGGATTAAATTCCTTAATTTGTTCCCACATTTCCTCTATGTCAGTCTCGTCTGTTGTCTGATTAGCTAAAGTCTCTTTTATGATCTCGAGATCTTCCAGTTCAACTTGTTTCTCTTTGATTCTAGTCCGAGTGTTTGCAATGTTAAGGCAACTAGTTTCACTTCCCTGTGTATATGGACTAAAAAATCGATCAACAACAACATCAATTGTAGGGTGAAAAAATGAGAAAGGATTATCAGAGGGGGAAAATGTTACTATTCCCACATCAATGTCATATTTTCTAATCATATCGCTTGCTTTCTTGTATAAAGTTTCCCGACGCTTTGAAAATGATGAGTATAAATCATCTTCATTTTCTATTTTGGCCATCGAAATCTTCTGACGTCCTAGGGTCTTTTTTTCTGCCATGACTCTAATATGATATGTTAATTGATGAGGCTCTCCAAACAAAATGTGTTGCTTATTTATACAAAAATTTCTTCAATGTTATAATTAATTTCTTGCCATATTATAAATGAAAACAAATCTCCTCATTATATTAAAATTATAGTAACAAAATATATTTATATAGATACTTAAAATAATATAGTCTTGCACTTACCATAATAATAAAAAATAAATCATAAATTTTAAATTAAAGAGATTAATATTCTAATTTGGTTAGTGACTTAATCAAATTGAGGAAAGTATGTGAGAGCAGAATTTGAAATGAAATAATCTATATATCAAAATCTTCGAAAATTCAATATAATAGGAAAATGTTTTAATATGCTACTATAATTGTAGAAGACAAAAGTTAATATAATTAGAAGAAAAATAAATTTCTTGCCCAAAATTTGTTGAAGTTTCGTGAATGGAAAAGCTACCAAAATCCAAAAACAAATCTTAGTTAGTGTTGGGGAAATTCAAAATATTTGATGACCAAAATTTGAAAATCTAGTCAAATTTTATAGTCAAATAAATAGTTAAAGGTGAATTTTTAGAATCTACTCTCAAAATATATGGTCAATGCTAGTTAAAAATATTAGAAAACTATATAATTAGACATACTTCATTACTATATATTATTATTATCTATACTGTCAAAATATTATGTATTTTACACTAATTTAGAATTATCTACGTATCTTATGCTTAGATACATGTATTTTTTTCTACCAGATACATAAATAGGGAGAGAGGCGAGCGAGATTGAGGAGCGAGGCGAGCGAGATTGGGGAGCGAGGCGAGCAAGATTTGTATGTATCTCAGACACATGTGAATCACACTAGATATATACTATTTGTATGTATCTTGAGTGATTCACATGTATTTGGGATACCATATACATGAGAGAGTGGGAAATGAGATGGGAGATAGGCGAGCAAGATTTGCTATATATGTATACCAAATACATGCGGATTCACTTGGATACAATATATATAGAACAAATTACACTTAAATTTGAACCCATGTATATGAGATAATCTTATATAACATAGCACACGACGAAAAGATAATCTTAATTTTTATTTTTGACTAAGCAAATTGTTGAATTAAAAACCATAATCAACATATTTATGTGTTAATACAATCCATACGCAATTATTTTATAATTATCATATTTATTTATATAACAACTTACGTGTAATGATATATATATAAAAAAAGGTCAAATTTGTTAGTAATGGGTGTAAAACTGCGCTAATCATTAAGAAAATAGGCTAAATTTGTCATTTATGAAATCTTAGCCATCATGAAAATTCTGATTTCACCGCTAAATTTAAATATTTTTATTTTTTCTCTAAAAAGTGACTTTAGCTTTTAGTTGACTCAATCTATAGTACAACTACTAGAGACGCTTTAACGTGACAAAATTTTCTATGATAGAGCGAGAAAATGGACCTCACTATCCGCTTGAATTAAATTTCGCTTTCTAGCTCCGATTAATTATTTTTCTAAGGGTATTTTTATCCTAAAATCCGTTGTAGATTTATCTAAATAGCCCAAAACGTCTAGGAATAAATTTGAATTAATTTTGAACACATTATATGGGTGTGATTAGATTAAAACCCTGAAAACTAATTTGTATTTATTAGTCAAAAGCCAAGATTTAGAGTGTGTTTGGTATGAAGAAAAACATTTTTTGGAAAATGTTTTTCAATTTCTCATGTTTGGTTGGGTAAAATGTTCTTGAATTTTTTTTCCAAATCAACTCATTTTTCTTAAATTTAAGGAAAATGACTTTCCTTAAAAAATTAAGGAAAACATTTTCCAAAACTTTCCTCCAACTTTAAATTACAATTTTTTTGTTGAAAACATCATTTTTTTTGTTGAAAAAATAAATTTAAAGCTTACTTAAAAAATATTTTTCAACTTCAAATTTTTTATTTTCTTACCCCACCCTCACCCCGATCCCCCCTCTCGCCAGCCCCTTACCAGCCTCCTAACCCCCCCCCCCCACCCCCACCCAATTTTTCTTTTTAAGTTTATTTTAAAAAAAATATTTCCAATTCCCAATTTTTAATTTTTTCAACCCACACCACCCCGCCCTCTCCCACAAAAAATTAAGTTTATTTCTAAAAAATATTTTTAATTTAAATTCAAAAATCATTTTTTGCTTTCTAGTAAAAATAAAAGATATTTTTTCAAAAATATTTTTCATTCATAAAGCAAACACTAAAAAATATTTTCTACTCACCATCCAAACATGAGAAAATAAATTAAAAATCTACTTGTTTTTCAGGAAAACATTTTCCTCCATACCAAACACACCTTAAGGTCTTAAGAAGGAGAGTATCATTAAATAGATTCAATTAATCACATTTTATTTGAATCATTGACATATATGTTAAAAAATCTAAGACATACCATAAAAAATTAAATATTGAACTCATAATTAATACATAACTTCGAGTCTTTGAGTTCACTAAATTTTTATCATAAATGGAAATCATTACTAAATTCAAATAACACCATAAACTTTAAAATAAAAATAGAAATTAAAACTAAAAAAAAAACGTTTAAAAAACTTAACTATTTCATTGCATGAAACTTCAAATGTATCAGGAACCATTTTATGCTTAATTAGCATTTTCTTGAGGAGCTTGTGCAATAGAAGAAGAAACAACATTTTTCAGCATCAAATCAACTTCATCCAATCGACTTTCAATTTTTTTCAAATCCTCTGGATTAAATTCCTTAATTTGTTTCCACATTTCCTCTATGTCAGTCTCGTCTGTTGTCTGATTAGCTAAAGTCTCTTTTATGATCTCGAGATCTTCAAGTTCAACTTGTTTCTCTTTGATTCTGGTCCGAGTGTTTGCAATGTTAAGGCGACTAGTTTCACTTCCCTGTGTATATGGACTAAAAAATCGATCAACAACAGCATCAATTGTAGGGTGGAAAAATGAGAAAGGATTATCAGAGGGGGAAAATGTTACTATTCCCACATCAATGTCATATTTTCTAATCATATCGCTTGCTTTCTTGTATAAAGTTTCCCGACGCTTTGAAAATGATGAGTATAAATCATCTTCATTTTCTATTTTGGCCATCGAAATCTTCTGACGTCCTAGGGTCTTTTTTTCGGCCATGACTCTAATATGATATGTTAATTGATGAGGCTCTCCAAACAAAATGTGTTGCTTATTTATACAAAAAATTCTTCAATGTTATAATTACTTTCCTGCCATACTATAAATGAAAACAAATCTCCTCATTATGTTAAAATTATAGTAACAAAATATATTTATATAGATACTTAAAATAATATAGTCTTGCACTTACCATAATAATAAAAAATAAATAAAAAATTTTAAATTAAAGAGATTAATATTCTAATCTGGTTAATGACTTAATCAAATTGAGGAAAGTAGGTGAGAACAGAATTTGAAATGAAATAATCTATATATCAAAATCTTCGAAAATTCAATAATAGGAAAATGTTTTAATATGCTACTATAATTGTAGAAGACAAAAGTTAATATAATTAGAAGAAAAATAAATTTCTTGAAGTTTCGTGAATAGAAAAGCTACCAAAATCCAAAAACAAATCTTAGTTAGTGTTGGGGAACTTCAAAATATTTGATGACCAAAATTTGAAAATCTGGTCAAATTTTATAGTCAAATAAATAGTTAAAGGTGAATTTTTAGAATCTACTCTCAAAATATATGGTCAATGCTAATTAAAAATATTAGAAAACTATATAATTAGACATACTTCCCTACTATATATTATTATTATCTATACAGTCAAAATACTATGTATTTTACCACTAATTTAGAATTATCTACGTATCTTATGCTTAGATACATGTATTTTTTTCTACCAGATACATAAATAGGGAGAGAGGCGAGCGAGATTTGTATGTATCTCAGACACCTATGAATCACACTAGATACATACTATTTGAGATACCATATACATGAGAGAGTGGGAAGTGAGATGGGAGATAAGCGAGCAAGATTTGCTATATATGTATACCAAATACATGCGAATCCACTTGGATACAATATATCTAGAACAAATTACACTTAAATTTGAACCCATGTATATGAAATAATCTTATATAACATAGCACACGACGAAAAGATAATCTTAATTTTTATTTTTGACTAAGCAAATTGTTGAATTAAAAACCATAATCAACATATTTATGTGTTAATACAATCCATACGCAATTATTTTATAATTATCATATTTATTCATATAACAACTTACGTGTGATGATATATATAAAAAAAAATGGTCAAATTTGTTAGTAATGGGTGTAAAACTGCGCTAATCATTAAGAAAATAGGCTAAATTTGTCATTTACGAAATCTTAGCCATCATGAAAATTCCGATTTCACCGCTAAATTTAAATATTTTATTTTTTCTCTAAAAAGTGACTTTAGCTTTTAGTTGGCTCAATCTATAATTTATTCATATAACAACTTACGTGTGATGATATATATATAAAAAATGGTCAAATTTGTTAGTAATGGGTGTAAAACTGCGCTAATCATTAAGAAAATAGGCTAAATTTGTCATTTACGAAATCTTAGCCATCATGAAAATTTTGATTTCACCGCTAAATTTAAATATTTTTATTTTTTCTCTAAAAAGTGACTTTAGCTTTTAGTTGGCTCAATCTATAGTACAACTACTAGAGACACTTTAACTTGACAGAATCTTCTACGATATAGAGAGAAAATGGACCTCACTATCCGCTTGAATTAAATTTCGCTTTCTAGCTCCGATTAATTATTTTTCTAAGGGTATTTTTATCCTAAAAACCGTTGTAGATTTATCTAAATAGCCCAAAACGTGTAGGAATACATTTGAATTAATTTTGAACACATTATATGGATGTGATTAGATTAAAACCCTGAAAACTAATTTTTATTTATTAGTCAAAAGCCAAGATTTAGAGTGTGTTTGGTAT